CTCCAACACTACATGGGTGGATTCTACCAGCCTGGCCTTCCTGACTCTCCCTTTTGCAGGTTTTCGCTCTCTGCCTCATTGCATCTTGAGACCTCTCCAACCCTCCCTTCATATTATAGGGTCTGATGCTGCTCAAACTTGCTATCAGCAAAGATATGGAGTAGTAATAGCAGTAGCAGCAGGCCCATCGGTGTGATTTGTGTTACATGAAGGCTGGCAATGATCCTGCTCAAGAATTCACACTCAGTCAGGTGTTGTTTGTATCAGAAGCCCCTGTTCCACCTACTAGCTACGATGAATGCTTCTGTTAGGGTCTTCATTAGTCATTTACCTTGTTTTCTAGTAAAATGGGCATGAGATGGCCCTCTCTGGTGGCGCAGCGGGTTAAAGCACAGCATTGAGAATCTAAAGCTGCTTCCGCATGAGTTCGATTCCTGCCTGCCCCGGAGGTGACCACATGGTGTGGCAGACCTCTCCAGGCCCGCCCGCTGCTCCCCTCAGCAGTGTACTTCGTCGATCTGTGCCTGTTCTGTTCTCCACTCTGTCTCTGGTGAAGCCTCTCACCGCCCTTGAGCCTCGGGCCTGTACCCCATTTCTGTATGCACAAATAAATAAATCTCTAAAAAAAAAAAAAGGGCATGAGAAAGGGACTGACATTAGTGAATATCCAAGCTAAGTGTATTGGTTAAAGTGTGTGAGCCTCTCCTCACCCTTACATTAACAGCAAGTCTGAAGCCTGTTCCCTTAAGGATGATACTCCAGGTTAACCCTCTAAGTGGTCCTTGTCCAGCTCTGAACCTTCAGGGTTTCGATTCCCTGATGCTGCTTATAAGGGCAACAGAATCCTGCCTCCACAATAGTGGCCAGTCTGAGCCCAGAAAAGAACAGAGCTGGGGCATCATGGAACTTAGTATAAGAAGTGCTTGGCGGAGCCTTCCCTGGTGACGCAACTGGTTAAAGCGCAGCACTGCAAAGCTAGCTGCAGCCGCTTCAGTGTGAGTTCAATCCCTGGCCAGGGAGGTGACCCACATGGCACAGCAGACCTCTCCTGTCTTTTTCCTGCACTGCTCCCCTCAGCAGTGTATGTCAGTAGATCTGCCTGTTCTGCTCCCCACTTTGTCCCTGGTGAAACTTCTCACCACCTCTGCACCTCTGGCCTGTACCCAAGTTCAAATAAATCTTTAAAAAAAAAGAGAGAGAGAGAGAAGTGCTTGGCACCTACTTGCTCAGGACTGTTTAAAAACCATCTGAATAAATGGGCCTATATTCAGAGTATAAGACAGCTCTTTGGGAGTCTGGGAGTGCATAACTCCTCCCCAATGAAGCGTTGTTTTCCTTAAGACCTTAGCTGTTCTGGAAAACATAGTTCTTTTTTTTTTTAAAAGATTTATTTGTATTTATTTATGTATACAGAACTGGGGTGTTGGCCACAGGTGCCAGGGGTAGGTGGCAGTGGTGATTCAGAACAGGCGGATCTACTGCTGAGGGGAGCACCAGGTGAGACAGGAGATATTTCTGCTGTGCCATGTGGGTCAGCTACCTGGCTGGGGATGGAACTCCCGCTGCAGTGGCTGCCCATAGCTTGATATAACTTTACCCCCTGTGCCGGGGGGGGGGGGCCTGGAAGCTGCAGTTTTTTTTTTTTTTAAAGATTTATTTATTTGTACATACAGAACTGGGGTACAGGCCAGAGGCTGAGGGGTGGTGAGAGGCTTCACCAGAGACAGTGGGGAGCAGAACAGGCAGATTGACGAAGTACACTGCTGAGGGGAGCAGCGGGCGGGTCAGGAGAGGTCTGCCACGACCTCCTGGGCAGGCGGGAATCGAACTCATGCAGAAGTGGCTTTAGCTTCTCAGTGCAGTGCTTTAACCTGCTGCGCCACCAAGGAGGGCCAGAAGCTGCAGTTCTTAACAAAGGCAGTAATTCCTTGAGCAACTCTGCAGGCAGTCAGAATTTGGGGTGCCCCTTAAGGACCTTGAATAAAGAAATGATAACCCCCCAACAATGGATTCCAGCAGAGATAAACAATGCTAACAGAATCTCCAGCTAGGCTTGTTCTCTTGATAGGCATCTTAAAAACTGAAACAAAGAATGGATGTACCAAAAATCAGATTAATTCTGTCCCATGGAAGAGAGCTATCCTAGCTATCCTAGGCTGGTTTATTCTTTGATCAGTTTTGGAGGCTACCCATCCTTTCCACTGTATTCCTTAGAAGCCAATCCCCAAGCGTGGCCTGCATTCAAGAGAAGGAAAATCAGACTCTACCTTTTGAAAGGGGAAGCATCAAAGAACTTGTGGACAGATTTTAAAACCACCATCGCTTACATTAAAGGTTATGAGAAACTGACCTTTACAATTCTTTTCTTTTCTTTTCTTTTTTTTTTTTTTTTTACAATTTCCATTTCTTGCAGGATCTGTAATAGCTGTGTTTCTCTTGAGCAACCAGTAGCTTTTATTTTGTAATGTTGTGAATCACTCTGTAAATTATGTTTTCCTCTTGTCTTAGTTGTCCAGAAGCTCAAAAGAAAAAACTGACTCACTTCCAGCTTGTATGCAAGACCTAAAGCCTGGTTTTGTGGATTCAATTCACCTATGACTTAATCTTCTTTTTTCTATTTTTGTTTTACTTTACTTATTTTAACATTTTATTTATTTATTTTTAAAGCTTTATTTAGTTATATATACAGAACTGTGGTACAGGCCAGAGGTGCGGGGGGTGAGGGTGGTGGTGGTGAGAAGATTTCACCAGAGACATAATGGGGAGCAGAACAGGTAGGTTGACTGAAGTACACTGCTGAGGGGAACAGCAGGTGGGTCAGGAGGTTTCTGCCATGCCATGTGGGTCATCTCCCCCAACTAGCTGGGATCAAACTCTGCTGCAGTTGCAGAGTATGAAGGACAGCTTCATAGTGGGTGGCCCTTATTTTTACATTTAAAAAGAACAGGTTTAATAGGAAAAAGAAAGGAGAAGATGCTTGCACAGACACAAGCAGGCAGAAAGAGCTGCTACTTTGCAAAGGGCAAAGGTTTATGCAGAGAAACACCTGCATAGGCACAAAAGGGCAGTATAGCAGCCCCTTGCTTCACTTTAAAATTATTTCTGAAGATATATGTATAGGTATCTATACATATGTGTGAGTGGAATGACATGTAGGAGGCTACCAACATGTATGTTGCCACATATTTTTAAGGTTTACATTTATCCAAATCCCTTTTGAAAGAAGGATGCGTATAAGCAGAACAAATAAAATGAAACAATTTTCATTTCTTTTTAAGACTTGAGATCACTACTTCCTTTGAATTCACAATCAAAATAACTATGGATTGTTTTGCTCTATATGTACTTCCATTCAAGTACAGAAAATCATCAAGTAAGATGGCCCCAAATCTCACCACATAGGGGAAAATTTTAATATTTTCATTAATACTCTTCAAAATACTTCTTTATAAGCTAAGCTATAAATGAAATCTTTTGGGTTTTTTTTTTAAAGATCACTATGCTTTGTATATCTTGAGTCAATTTCAAACATGTTTATCACTTTTAGTAGTTGCAGGGTGTTCTATTGTACCATAATTTAACTATGGCACATTTTGACACAATTCCCCAGATGGGTTAGAAGCAGCATTACGGATGGATTTATTCTGCATGCCTCCTCAAAAAAAAAAAAATATTAAGACTATTCTGCATATTTTGCTGGAACTTTTGCGTTTAAGAAAGTGAGGGAAAATAAAAATAAAGGTGATGCATGGTGGCTGGGCCATCAGCTTTATATAGAGTCTGAGTAAGGGTGCACCACCGTTCTAGATTTGAAATCTCAAAGCTGGACTGAGCTGTTTTGTTCATGAAATCAAATAATGGAACTTTCCCCTAAAGGTAAAGAAATAAGTAAACTTAATAGATAACATTTCCCCTATATTGAAATTTACTCTCATGTATGTTATTAATTTTGGGAGAGTGCTACCACTATTTTGTATTCAGCTCGAATAAAAAGTGGTGTAGGAGTTACAGAGATTTTCAGTCAACGGATTAGGGTTTCACGAGGGTCAGCGACTTTCAGAAGCTTGTCCACTGGAGATATGATTCCATCCGATGGAAATAGGTAACATTCCTGCGGAAAAGTCCACTCCCCCACCTCATCTCATCTCATGCCACCACAATCTTGTGAAGAAAACTATTCAACAAACCGAGTTTGCTTTAAAAAAAAAGTTAACAAAACGACTGGTGGAGAATGCAGGACACTTTAACATGTATTAAGTGCCAAATAGCTTAGTGCAGAGAACAGTGCCAGTGCCAGAAGCTGGAAGGGTTCAGCCAAGGTGACAAGGCCCCACCCCGGGGGCCGGCGCTGGGACGGGTAAACGGGGCTGAGAGCTCTGGTGGAGGGGCAGGGCTGGGGCAGGTGTCCCAGCCTCAAACTTCAAATTCTGAAAGCCATTGCATTTCCCCCCTGGAAAATCACGAAATATTTCCTCTTATTCCGAAATCATCCGGACTCAACTCCGAGGAGTAGCAACAAAAACAAATACACAACAATGTATGCCTGCTCGGGCGACCTCTCCAAACCTGGAATATTTCTAAACTTTTCCTGCAGGCTAACAAGAGTACCTTCCGGTATCGGAACAACGCCCCCATAAAACTACAAGTCCCAGTAGGCTGCCCGCGCAGCGTCGGCTTCTCCTGGTGGCACCTCGCCGCATTACGCTCCAATTCCGATCCGGGCCCGCAAGCTGTGGCCCAGGCGCCTGCTGGGACATGTAGTCCGCGCCTGAGTCCCTCTCCCGGTCCGCGCAGACTCGCGCGGCCTCTGTCCGCCCTTCGGCCCTGCAGAAGACCGGCCCAAGCTCCAAAGTTCCCCACCCCCATCCCGCTGAAGCCCCTAGAGGGCCAACCTCCTCCGGTCACGAGGAGAGCTATGCGTGCGGCGGTTGGCACAGGGGCTCGGAGGCGGAGCTCGAGGCCCTACGAGGTTCCGTGCCCCCGGCCGGGCTGCTTGTTTGGCTGTGCCGTCACCTCATGGCGACGCGGGTAGAGGAGGCAGCGAGGGGAAGAGGCGGCGGCGCCGAAGAGGCGATTGAGGCCGGACGGGGCGGACGGCGACGCAGCCCGCGGCAGAAGGTCAGTCTGGGGAGTGCGAGCGTTGATGCCGGGCCGGGGTAACGCTCGGACTACCTCTTTCGGGGTTCACCTCCTCACTCTTTCTGCTTACCTTTAGCCCTGGGACGAACATCCGGCCCTCTTCCCCCCCGGGGGTGACGACAGTGGGAGCAGGTGGGGGGGAGTGGAACCGGGAGGGATGGCGAAGGAGGGGGTGGCCGTTGGGACTGGGGGGCGCGCGGCGGCGGGGAGTGAGGGCAAGAGTGGCAACCTGGTGTGAGGGGGCAGGGATGCGAGGCGGGGGCGCGCCAGGTGTGACAGCCACGTGCGGCCGGCCCCGCAGGGTCCTGGGCTCCAGGGGTGCTCTCTGCCAGCCCCCGCTGTCCGGGTGCTTTCGGGGCTCGCCGCACCGGGAGCTGCTTTCGGGGGGTGGCCTGGGGTCACGGGCTCGCCTCCTAGCGTGGAGCAGGTGCGCGGGTTTCGCTACGATGCGCCCTGGCGGCGCGGGCTAGGCTGTTGCGCAGTAAGATAACCGTGCGGGAGCCAGGGTTGTACCCCCCTTCCTCGCGGGTTTGCGTTCCCCGCAGCGCGCGGGGGCCGCAGCGACCACTCGGGCCCCGGGACCCAGGCCCGCCCGGGCTCCTCTGGGTGAACGGGCCCAGCCGCACGTGGGACTGGCCATGGGGATGAGATGCTGGAGGACCTTGCTTCCGCAGAGTCGGGAGCTGCAATTCGTGATAGCCTGTCGTCCTATTCAGGACACTCCACCCCTTCTTTATTTCCTCCCCTTTGCATTCTTTCTCTCCCCTTCGATAAGCAGAAACTTAAGCCCCTCTCCGACTCTGGCCCTTGGTCTGGACCTGGACGACAGGCTAGAATGTTCCCTCTTGCCTTGCTTCACGCATGTCGATTAGTTTTCAGTGTCTCCCTGGATACAAGAAAACCGAGACCTTCAGAATAGGAGAATTCCACTTGTTCTCGAGTCAGTGGGTGGAGTTGGAAAAAGATTGCACAACGAACGGGGTACAGGGCTTTCAGGGCCTAGGAATGGTGAACTTGGGAGAACCGATGGGAAGGTGGAAGCCCCCTCTGTCTTTCCTTGTCTGTTGAACATACTGAAACGTTCAACTTGTTGGACACCCTGCTTGATAACACTCAGCTATTTCATATTACCTAATTATGCATTTGGATACTCTTAAAAACTCCTGTGTGAAATTATGAGATAATGTTTTTCTGATGTGACTCATGAACTTGAAAAAGGAGGAAATAGGTTAGGTTTACATCTGAGCAAAGTGTCAACCAGCTTTTGGTGGGAGGGGGCGCTGTTTCTAATGTCAGGGATTTTTAACCTCTCTGCATGCCCATATTAACTACTTCTCAATTACCTCTCATTTTCTCCCTCCCTTTGTATTCTAAAAGAAAGATCCAGGACTGGCAGGACTGAAAAAGAAGCTGTGGACCAAGAGCACTCTAGGGATTCACTATTGTCACTTTGGACACTGCACTTACTCCCTGAGGGTGGGGAGCCAATCTCAGTGCTTGGTTTCATAGGTCTCCCTGGGGAGGACTTCGATAAAAAGCCACTGCAATTGAGGACATAAGTTCCCTTTTATGCCACTGGGATAAGGGCAAAAAGTGAATTAGGAACTGAGGTTTAGTCAGCTAGCATTTTAAAGGACCAGGGTGAGAGGTAATGACCCTTTGAGTCAGTACTCTGCTTAACAGCTGGATAGGAAGAGTAATGTGTGTCTCATTTTTGTTTACTTACTGCCTGCTCCTTTCTTCTTTGTTGATGCTTTTTTGAGAATCTTCTTTCCTTTTGATTTCCAGTTGACTATGACATGGAACTGAAATAAATACTTAAATATTTTTGAAATTTCTTACTTAAAAATCAGGTAAAAAAAATCAGGTGAATGGTTTGTGTCGGCACAAGTTGCTTTTAGATTATTTTCATAGATATGTAAATATGTACTTTTTTTATTTTTGCTGGGTCATGACTTGAAAAACTATTCCCAGTTCGAACTTAACCTCTGCCCTATTTTTCCGGAAGCAGAAATGTTTAACTAATTGTGTTGTTCTGGAAATAATTGTAGGAATTAAAGGAAAAGTGACTATTTTGTCATGGTTTGGTTACATTATGGGACTTAAAGGAGAAATGATTGGAGATGTGCTTTATTGGTTCCTGGCTGCTTTAACCATCTACTTAGTCACTTCTGACCTACTCAGTTAATTGTGGTATTGTTTCATAACTATAGCCAATTGAATGGTCTATTGAGGTGAAGTTTTCCCTTCTCAAATTAGTATTACAGTGTTTTTCTAGAGGTTTCTTGAAGAATTGTCTAAAACTGGCTATTTTACATGTTAATTAAATTTAAAACTCCATTCCTTAGTCATTTTAGCCATGGTTTGAGTATTCTATAATAGCCAGTGTGGCCAGTGCCTACTGTATTAGAGCAGATCTAGAATGTTCCATCATTGCTTTAAATTCTGTTGGACAACATTGATCTTTATAAAAGGATGGGATATGACATACATTGTCCAGTATTCCAGCATTTTTTAGGCTATCAAATTCATTCATAATACCTTTTCTATATCCCTATGTAGAATGCTTTACAGGGTTGAGCTTTTGAAAATGTAGTACTTTTTCCTTTTTAGCTATTTTAGGTTTATAGAAAAACTGAGCATAAATTACAGAGGTCCCATACATCCCCTCACACCTCTCTTTCTTCTATTAGTTACATCTTGTATTAGTATGACACATTTGTTACAATTGCTGAGCCAATGTTGATACATTATTTTAAAGCCTACTATTTACATTAGATTTCATTCTTAGTGTTGTACATTCAAAGAACTGATAAATACATAATCATCCACATCCACCATTATGGTGTTATAACAAATAGTTTCACTACCCTAGAAGGCTCCTATTAGCCCCTTCCTCCCTCCCCCCAGATGGCTGGCAGTCACTGATCTTTTTTTGTCTCTACAGTTTTACCTTTCCCAGGATGTCTGAGGTTGGTTTTTTTTTTTTTTTTTTTTTTAAGATTTATTTATTTGTACATACAGAACAGGGATACAGGCCAGAGGCTCAGGGGTGGTGAGAGGCTTCATCAGAGACAGAGTGGGGAGCAGAACAGGCAGATCGACGAAGTACACTGCTGAGGGGAGCAGCGGGTGGGTCAGGAGAGGTCTGCCACACCATGTGGTCACTTCCGGGGCAGGCGGGAATCGAACTCATGTGGAAGTGGCTTTAGCTTCTCAGTGCAGTGCTTTAACCCGCTGCGCCACCAGGGAGGGCTCTGAGGTTGGTTTTTTAACTAGATTTTTGCTTGAGAATGTTAAAAATTATTTAACTACCATTAAATACATTTTTATGTTGTAAGCCATCCAGAGGATGAAGTTATATGGAACCCAGGTGCAAATAACCAGTTTCTCACACTTATATAGCACCCTCAGTTTTCAGGGCACATGTACACATACATGTATGAACTCAGCATCACTCAGGTGATATGAAGAAGACTGGGGAGCTGTCATTGCCCTCATTTACAAATGACAAACTGCTCAACAAGGTCAAGTGATTTGCCCAAGGGATGAAGCTAAGTCAGAGCCCAATCCCTTTCATCTATACTACAGTAATAAGCAGTGTAGTAAGTGGGTAAATAGTATGGATTTTGGAGTCAAGACTCTTGGCTGTCTGCCACTTATTAGCTATGCAACCTTGGACAGGTTTCTCAATCTTTCTAGCCCTCAGTTGCATCATCTTTAAAGTGGGGATGATGCTAATAACATCTACCATATAGGAGTGCTGGGAAGCATAACAGTTGATGTGATGTGTTCAGTACCAGGCTTCTAGTATTTTACTTGGTCTGCAGGGGAGGCTAGAAAAGAGGTATTTCTCTTCTAGGGTGCTATTTTGTAACTCCTTGTTCCTACTTCTGTATTTTTCCCTCTTCCTAGAACCTCACTATGATAGGCATTGAGAGGTCAGTTGAGGGTGGGGCAATAGCATGAGGCAGGGAGAAACTATTTCATTATTTTGTTTTTCTACCCGTTGTGTACTTGATGAATTTCCTACTCTTCTGGCACAGACATTAATAAGAAGCAAAATGATCTTCTATTTACAACATTATCATCTAATTGTGTCACTAGTTTTGGTGAATTTCATTTTCACCGGGGAGCCAAACAGGAAAAGCAGTAATGATAGACATTCCTCTATTAATGCAGTTTTAGATCATAATGTGCCATGTTTATTATGTTACTGGAAAGTGTTTTATGTATTATTTTGTGTGTCATTTATATTGGTTTTGACTATAGAAGTTTTATTGAGGAATGTATATGTCAAATTCAAATGCCATAAAGCTGGCTGTGTGGGGTTTGTTTTCGTGTTGTTTTTTTTTTTTAAAGATTTATGCATACAGAACTCGCCAGAGGTGCTGGGGCGGTAAGAGGATTCACCAGAGACAGAGTGGGGAGCAGAACAGGAAGATCAACAAAGTTACACTGCTGAGGGGAACAGCAGGTGAGACAGGAGAGGTCTGCTGTGCCATGGGGATCACCTCTATGCCGAGGATCAAACTTGAACTGAAGCAGCTGAGGTTGGCCTGCAGCACTGCACTTTAACCTGCTCTGCCACCAGGGAGGGCCTGTTTTGTTTTGTTTTTTAAGATGTATTTATGCATACAAGAACTGGGGTGCATGCCAGAGGTCGGGAGGTGAGGATCCACCAGAGACAGTGGGGAGCAGAATAGGTGGATTGACTGAAGTCTACTGCTCAGAGGAGCAAAGCAGGCAAGACTGGAGAGGTCTGCTGAACCATGTCAGTCACCTCCCTGGCTGGGACTCAAGCTCCTGCTGCGGTGGCTGGGATAGCTTCATAGCACTGAGAGTTAACCCCTTGTGCTGCCAGAGAGGTCTGTGGTATACAAATTTAATAACAGTATTCATCAACATTCAGAATTGGTTATGTTTAAAATTTTCCCCAAGTGGTACATTTCTAGAAAAGGATAAAAATAGGCCTGGTG